TCTCTTTTTTCTCAATAGATTTTAGACTGTGTTTATTAAAAATCCATACCGTGTACGGGTTCTGGGAAGTCGGGGGAGGGGAAGGAGGAGGGGGGTTGGGGGGGAGGGTGGAGGGAGGCAGGGGTATACATTAGGCTAGACAAGAATTTGGTGGTAAATTAGAACTATTTTGACACACAAGAAAGAAGGAGGTTTTCCAGGGGGAAAAAACTTCCACTCTTATATTTTCTTATTCACGAAGAACTCATGTGAAATAGTAATTTTCTAAAATTGCTATAATTTGTTTCTCTCTTCAACCTGAATTATTATGTAGAACTTTGAGGTCATACAATACACATAGTGACCTTAGCATATCAGCAGGACCAGATGTAAATTACAGTTTGCAATTTTTGCTGCAGTTCCCTCCAGTGGTGGGTTTCCATTATTTTTTTTTACTACTGGTTTGCTCGTGCGCGCTTGTGCGCATGAGGTGGGCAGGTGGAGGGAGCCTCCCTCCGCCACCAATACCGGTTCTCCCGATCCAGGCCAAACTGGGAGCAACCCACCTCTGGTTCTCTCCCACTCCTCTAAGGAGGTAATATTTTTTTTCTTGTGCGCATGAGGTGGGCAGGTGGAGGGAGCCTCCCTCCGCCACCACTATCAGTTCTCCCGATCCAGGCCAAACTGGGAGCAACCCACCTCTGGTTCTCTCCCACTACTCTAAGGAGGTAAGATTTTTTTTCTGTTTAAAAAGGAACCAAACTTTGTCAAAGCTTTTCTGCATATCATTCTTTTTAACTGTAGTCAGTGTATCAAAATAATAGCATCTCACCTACCTGAGGCATGGAGTGGGGTCCGTTGTGTGACATTATCTTTCACTGTGACAGAAGCACCCTGGTTGATGAGCGCCTCAACACATTCCATATGTCCTTTAAATGCAGCAAGGTCCAGGGCAGTGCGTCCTTTTTCATCTCTAATATCCAGATCTACTAGTGACTGAAGCAGCACTTCTAATGCTTCATGGTGACCATTATAGGCCTAGGAAACAAAATGAAGTACTTAAGACCAGTGATTTTTCACTGAGTCTAAACACTGAGAATACACCAAGATTTCTCCTGATGTGAAAACTGAAACAGTGAGGAAATCTCATTAGTCTCGTGAAACCTCTTTCACAATGTGGTATTTACCTCTTCGAAATAAACTATACCTTTCAGGGGTTTTTTCTCTGGAATGGCATTTTTAGAAGATGATTAAAACTGGTACGTAAAGTAACCCTGTAGGAATTTTAACCTATTAAAAATTAAATGAATTTAGAATAATTTTTGGAAATAAGTAATATATGCATCCCAACAGAAAAGAATCTAAATTAAAAAAATGTTTTTATAACCTACACTAATTCAAAAGAACCCTGGGAGGCATACAGAGGTGAGTTCCTACCATTTCGCACCAGTTCGGTAGAACCGGTTCGTCAAACCTACCAAACCGGTTAGAAGAGGTTCCACCAGAAA